AAACCCTGAACCCTGAACCCTACGTCCGGGCGTGCAACCCGAAGGGCCCATGTGAGCTACAGCCCAAAGTCCAAGTATCCCCCTATCATCAAACCCCTAGTATAAGGCTTAGGGTTTAGGGTCTAAGGTCCTAGCATCCCCCTTAATAAGCCCTATAATACTCCCTTGTAGAATCCCCTAAATAACCCCCCCTTAAGGAGTTTGGACTATATAGCACATGCAGGTGAACATGCTACCCCCCCTCCCTTCCCCCTGCTAAATCATGAATACACCCCCTACATAGTACCGTTATGTATTACCCAATGGCTCACGTAACACAAATCCTAAACCTCTACGAAGTACATGCTTAGGGCTCAAAGGGTTCTCCTATCGTTACTTCATGGAACAAGTAACTACTGCATAGCTACATGGACCCTCAGGGAAAGCAGGAACGTCTTTCACCCTCGTCATTAATAATGCCACTGCCGTCCCAAAGCCAAGAGTACGATATGGCAGGGATGAAGCATGAACTGGCGAACCTTACCCTAAGCCCTAAACCGTAAACCCCTAAACCCCTAAATCTCAAACCCTATACCCCCTGAACCCTATGCCCCTAAACCCCTAAACCCTAAACCCTGAGCCCTATAGGGATGGGTGAGTAGCCAGAGGGGACCTCGCTGAGATTATAAGCTTGTCTGGATCAGGTTATAGTCGCCCTTAAGTAGATAAAATGTGGCTTTGGGTATATTTTAATAAGATCCCCATATACCCCCCATGTTCTATCTACTTAAGGAGGGCCATATCTTCTGCCGCTGACTGGACAAGGAAAGAATCCAATGCTGTTACTACTTAACGGTTTAGGGTTTGGGGCTGAGGTTTCATAAGTGTGGGTTTCCACTCTTGAGTAAAATCCCTTTATGCATACCCTCTCTATCCATAGATTTGTGTCTGTGTGCGTCCGTCGCTCTTGCTCACCAGCCTACACGACTGCCTGAACTCTAAGGCGAACTGCCGGTTCAGAGTGGGCTGAATTTTCAAAAGTACGATAGGGGCCTGAATAGTTACCCGTGGTCTGTTTGAGTCACCCTATGCCATGAACACTGCAGCAATCATTTTGGACCATCATCTATTTTGCATCTACATTACCCAAGCTGAATTTTGGAACCACATCTGCCCTGGCACGTCATGGAGATTGCACGACATGAGGCCTATAGCGCAGGCATCACTTTGAAACCGGAAGTAAATTTGGCTGAAAGCTAACAGGTGAATAATTGAAAGAAGCCCTCACCTTGCCCTACTCGGCTCACCAATTCTGTCCGGGCAGCATGCCTGCGATTTCTCCAGCATCCTTCGTCGCTTGACGCTGGGCGTCATTGAAGTATGCAGGCACGGTAATCACGGCGTCCCGGACCTGCATTGAATTTCTTGGAAATGCTGAAAGTATCGTGAACAATTTGAACAGCATTTATCACTGGAGTGACGGTTGACAATTAACTAGGCAGCCCCGCAGTAGTAGTGATACCCTCTTGCAGTGGATCAGAACAAGCCTGTGCCACCATTCTCAAAGGAATAGATGCACAAACGATGGACATGACTAAGAATCCTGCCGTGCGATCCGCTTCACAGAGAGCCACAGAAACCCAACAAACCTTGAACCCTAGATCTGATCCCAGTTTCCATTGCATGTTCCACTTGATTCTCCATAGTTGGGGTTATATATATGTATATATATATATATTTATCCCTGTATGGGCTATAGTCTAATCTAAACTCCTGGTATCCCCCTTGAGAACCCCTATAGCACTCCCCTATTTAATCCCCTTTAAGGAGTTTAGACCCTAAACCCTGAATCCTTTACCCTAAACCCTATATAATCCCCTATATAACCATAAGAATCCTTAAGTCTATATAATCCCCTATGCTCTATATAACCCCTGTTAATCGCCAGATACCCCACATTGCGGAGAAGTGACGCGATGGCCAAGGTAAGCCTCTGCCGTTGTCTTCATCTTCGTGAGGATCATGGAGCTAATTTCCTTAGGATTTAGGGCTTTCGGTTTAGGGTTTGGTGCTTAGGGGTTAGGGTTAAGGGTTTCAGGTGAAGGGCTTTATAAGGCTTAGGTTTTAGGGTATTGATCTCCTAGTAACGGAGGAAAATAAGCTGGAAAATGAAAGGGAAACTGGGTGTACCTGAAGGTTCTATGTTTACTTTTAATTTAAATATCTTCTTTTGCACAGGTTAACTTTGTTTTCAGCACGTCGGGTTTTGTACCAGGCAAAAAGGTTGAAATTTAGACACCTGGCCCTTGGCTAGCCGGGAGGGGGGGAGTGGAAGAAAACATGGAAACTACTATAATGGGATATATAGGGACTCCTAGCGAACCCAGGGCCAGCCACTGGACCCTGGACAGGTAAGCTTCCTCAGGGTGGAACTTCTTGACGACGTCTTGGTACAGCACTTCCTCGGCATGCGAGGTGGACTTCCGCGCAACCCATCATCACCCTAAATCCCTAAACTTTAAACCCTAAACGCTGAAATCCTACACCCTAAGCTCTCGACCCTTAAGCCATAAAAACCCTAAATCCTAACCCGCAAAAGTCGAAACTTGCGCTCTGTCAGCCCAAGGTTCGATGAGGGGTTTGTCATCCTTTGTGCCGTCTGACACGACTCTAAATGGCCAAAGCTTCAAATCCGCCTCCAGACGCAAAGGGTCCATGTGGGTTCTCAAGGGGTCCATGTAGCTATACAGTACAGGGTTCAGGGTTTAGGGTGGGTATGCAGTGTATACTTGGGCCCTAAATTAGACATATGGGAACGCCTTATGGTCTTAAGTATCTACTGTATACCTACATGGACCCTTTTGGAACAGGGGGCGTAGACTGCCATGTTTGCCGTGAGCATCCTGGGTCAAGCGTTAAGGTTTAGGGTTTAGGGCCTTAGTTTTCAATGTCTGTTCGCGAGGATGGGCATCCCTGGAAACCCCTCTCGTGCACGCGCACATAACCTTCATCCTGAGCTGTTTCCTAGGTGAGCTATAGTCCAAACTGCTAGTATCCCCGTTCATTACCCTGTCATATTCCTCTATGGTATCCCCTGTACAAGCCCCTTTAAGGAGCTTAGACTACACCCATAGGTAGCAGAAGCATGTGCTCAAGCTGGGAAGCTACTCGAGACCTGCCTGCACGATTGGGTCGTCAAACCGTCTTCCAATCAACCTCTTAGCGTCGAAGACGGTGTTCGTCGGGTTGCTCGCCACCTGCTCGTGAAACCCTACACCCAGGCAACCCAATATCCAAAACACTCCACCCAGTGTGTGAGTAGGTGGTAGGTGTGCACATAGGTATGCAATAGAAAGATGGAGGTTTGAGTGACACCCCTAGAACCCCAAATTCTGAAACCCCAAGGCCCCAATCCCAAACCCCATATCCCCAAAAAAACCCTATAGATCCCCTTTAGTTGGCGAGGCCTACAGACCCCACCCCACGCGTGGTACTGCTGCATGGGAATTGGCTTCAAATCTGCAACTGCTGGCAGTTCAGGAGCCTAAGCCCTAATGTAGACCCCTGATTGAGAGCTACATTTAGTGATCACCATTGCAGCTATGACTAGTACTAATAAGAAGAATCTTACCCTAAGCCCTGCGACCTAAACCTATTATCACTATTATTTGGTTTGCTTTGGGGTCCTCTCTCCCATTCTGTGAGGCCTTAGGACTCTGGCAGACAGCGCCGCGAAGCACAAAAAGCATCAGCGTATTATCCGGAGTTAGCGGTTGAGGATTTAGGGTGTTGGGTTGCCAGGATTATCATGAGTGGTGTCAGACAAGGTCATGTAGCCACATAGTCTTGGGTTTAGGGTGTATGGTGTACCCTTGGCCGCCAATTAGCCATGTGGAAGCCCTTTGGGCCATAAGTTTATAGTATATCCCTACATTATGGACTTTTTCGTGTAAGCAATGCTAGTTTTCTTCAGGGTTCAGGGTTCAGGGCTTCGGGTTGTGCCCATTGTGATTCTTTTACTATTGCTCTTATTGTTACGACTCTTACGACGACCACTCCCCTACACCTTAAAGGCTGAAACCGTCCCTCCGCTGGCCAGCCTGGTTTTTTGCCGCATCGCCCAGGAGCCGCTCCTGGAGAAATTCATCAGAGCCATAGTCTAAACTCTTAGTATCCCTCTTAATAATCCCTACTGTGGATACTAGAAATGCTGCATGACCTTAATTTTCTTTAGTCCCCTTATTCCCAGGGTCTCAGGTACTTAGGGTCATGCAGGATTTCTAGTATCCCCCGTAGTATAGGGTTTGGGGAGCTAGTGGCTGTAGGGGACATAATTAAGGGATAGATATGGGTTTTTAGGGAAGACCAACTAATGCGGTTCCTTTTTGGTAGTTCCTATGATATGGACTGGAATGTATTGGGGTCTACATTGGAGGCCCCGCGTTTATGGAAAACCCCCCCTGCAAGAGGCAACATCTTTGAGTGTAGCATAAATAAACAGGGCCACGGTATCAACTCGGCTTAGCCAGAACCGTGGTAATCTGCTGAAAAGAAACTCCCGCGCCCCCTGATAATACATACCAGCTATTATATCATCTGAAGATTATGTTTCTTGCTGGGGGGGGTGGAGGGAGTTCAGTATCAGGGGAAGGGATTCAGTTGAAGACCACGGTAAGCACAATGACCAGGACTTTCCAATATCCCTTTGATATTTTGATGTACACCTGCCTAACCTTGTACCAATAAGTCCTTACAACCCCTTCAAAAGGTCTTGTTCTACCCTAAACCCGAAACCCCAGTTGTGAGGATCACCATGAGAACAAGTCTTTCGCAGGACTCTCGAAAGCCGACTTTGCTGTGAAAGCCCGCCCTTCCAGTCAATAAGAGTAAAAGTATGAAGAATCAAAAGAGTGAGTATCATAGCAATATTCAAATATTTCAGAAAATAACAGTAATAGTAGCAATCTTAACTAAATTACGAACAATCGCAATACTAAGTAATGAGATTTCAACATGTATATAATGAACCTGTGGCCAGCAAGGAACTGCCAAACCCAGAACTCGAAAAGTAGTTTCCATGTTTTCCATTTAGCCCTCCTCATGTAAATAGAATATGGGATATATGGGGATCTTATTACAAAATACCCAGAACCATATGCCTGCTACTTAAAGGGGGGTATATCCCTAATATTGGGAAACCCTAAGACGGGTGGCTACAGTGCTTGTCGGGCTTTTGTCTTCCAGTGGTACTGACTAGAACAAATGACGTGTCGCGTTTGCTGTGTTGGATGAATTTGGCACTTGGTGCTTGATTACGACATCATAGATGCCACCCCGCACCCTAAACCCTATAGTCCCCCTTAAGTAGATAGAATATGGGGCATATGGGGATCTTATTACAAAGCCGTATTCTATCTACTTCAGGGGGACTATAAACCATTGTGGGTCCAAGCAAGTTGACGTAAACAATGGTCTGACAGGGCCGCGGTGAGAGGTCCTGCTCCGTCCATGCGACGTACGAGGGAGTGGTGCGGTTGCCCTGGTCATTCCTGAGCATGCTGTAATGTAGACCCATGATGAATAAAGCCCCTCCTTTAAGGGCCTAAATATTATCATCCCTACTATAACCTCTATTAAGGGGATGGAGTTTATTAATCAGGGGTCTGGGTTAGGGTTTAGGATTTGCGATTGAACTATGCTGGTAATCCATACTGCCAACAATCACCATGTCAGGAGAAGAGCTTGATATAGATATATCGACCATAACATCAAGAAAGATACCGGGCCTGTCTTAACAAGAAACCGAGAGGGAATGACGAACACATCTGCTGACGGCGCATTGGACCCTATTCGCATTTTCTTGATGACCCTGGCTCTCTAGGAAAGCTGAAAGAACTTGCGACTGGGCGCGCGATGATTTGCACCTCCCCGTCTTTGTAGACCTGATCGATGCATACGGTCTTTTGGCTTGTTGTCGCCGATGCTTGACGAAGAAATGCGGTCATCCAACTGCACGACTGAGAACAGAAGGATTCTTAGAACTTTTGTGCAAGTACGGAATCCAGAAATGTTAGACAACGACTCTACGTTGCACTTAGGACCCCTACTAAAGTTAACCCTTAGATATCCGTAATAGGAGTATAAGGGAAGCCCAAACAGTTAAGGGTCTAAGGTCCCGGCTAAATCCCAGGGAGATGATATAGAGTCCCCCTTAAGTAGATAGAATATAGCTTTGGGGTATATGATAAGAAGATCCCCATATACGAGTACCCCATATTCTATTTACTTAAGGGGGACTATAGACCCGAAACCCTTTCAACTTGCGGGCCCGTCTTTCAAAGCCAGAGGAGATGACACCGCAACAGCAACAGCAGCTAGAATGGGGGGGGGGTTCCCAAAATTCTTGGGTACCTTGTTGGGAGAGTCTCCTAATAAGGATTGTATTGCATTGGGGTCTATAGTGAGGTTCCCTTATCCCTAAACTAAACCTTATAAAGCCTAGACCCTACCTCCAAAAACCAAACCCTAAATCCCTAAGCCCCAAACCCCAAACCCCCTAAACCCCAATTGAGCCCAAAGGGCTCCCACGCAGGAGTAGGTGGTCCCCAGGTCGATTCCTACAGCATACGTCTTGGCATCCTCAGAGGCGGGCTCCATGGCTCCACCGTAGGCGGTTTCGGGTTTAGGGTTTGGGGTTTAGGGTTAAGGGATAAGGATCTAGGGTTTGGGGTTTAGAGTTTAGGGATCCGGATTTAGGGTTTGGGGTTTAGGGTGTAGGGCTTAGGGTTCAGGGTTTGGAGCTTATTGTGTAGTGGGATTGGAACCGCCTATCTTTTTTCCCTCCCGCTTGGCTGTGATGCAGTCAGGGAAAGCAGATGTCAAAATCACTAGCAGAAAGTTTTGCATGTACATTCGTAGTCCCACATAGAATAACATGGAGTCTTTCGATCATATCAAATGTGTTCGCAGAGCTGGAGGTAGGTATCTATCCCTATAAACCCCAGCTTCCCATTTAATTTGTCATAGTATTTTCCATTTGGTTTTCCATGATGGGGGGTGACCTCCTCATATGTCCCTATGTACCCCCTGAGCCCTAAACCCTAAACTTCCCAAGGACAGGAACCTTCAGAGAATTGGTGAAGGGGCTCAGTATTCAAAAGGCTTCAGCTACGATGCCTCAGCCATCAAGCTTTAGCCCTATAGGAAAACAAATGGCCCACTGTAGGTAGTGAAGGGTTTAGGATTTAGGGATCCCCGTAGCCCAATTCAATGTAGGTCATATTGCAGACGTTAGGTCCCGATATGGGTGTTTTGTTGTATACTTGGATCCCTTTATAACTCCAGTTTCCATATAATTTTCAATTTTCTTTTCTATATGATTCTCCATCATTGGTATTATTTGTATACTTGGGTCCCTGGGGTAGGGTCCACATGGTTTTCATAGGCTCGATTGAACCAAAAGGCCGCGGCTAGGACTGGCAATCTTGTCAACATCAATGAGCGCTCTCCAAACCGCTGGGTTCTGATTTACAGACACAACTAGCAAGTCTTTCTGGAAGGGGCTGTGGACCCAAACCCTAAGCCCCTAAACCCCATATCCCCACCCCTAAACCCTAAAACCCCAAACCTTAAAACTCTAAACCCTGAAACCCTAAACCCCATACCCAAAAAAACCAAACCCTGAAACCCTACAACC